CAGAGTGTGTTTTTGTGTGTTTCAGAGTGTGTTTTTGTGTGTTTCAGAGTGTGTTTCTGTGTGTTTCAGAGTGTGTTTCTGTGTGTTTCAGAGTGTGTTTTTGTGTGTTTCAGAGTGTGTTTTTGTGTGTTTCAGAGTGTGTTTCTGTGTGTTTCAGAGTGTGTTTCTGTGTGTTTCAGAGTGTGTGTTTAGGAAAAAATTGTGAGTAGAAACTTTATCTATCCCTCAGACGCACCGACAGAGCGTCTGCCGGCTAATTACCACAGCAGCCGTCCTGCCGGCGTGCTACCAGTGGTTTATGTTTACAGTAATGCCATTAGTGTGTGTGTGTGTGTGTGTGTGTGTGTGTAGTCATGTCAGAGGTCGTAAAGCTCTTTAATTCAAAATAAGAGTTCTGGGAAGAGATGAGAGGTGTGTGTCTCAGTGTGTTTACGTTTTTATTATTCACGCGTCCGATTGGTCGATCTGWTGTTTGTTTGTTTGTTTGTTTATAAAACAATAAAAACAATCATTAAAATACTGTTTAAAATGTTTGTTCATATAAAAAAATATCTAATTTTAATGAAGTTTCAAACAATTATCATTGGATGAACGTTTACACCTGGTTAACATTTGGAGCCACTTCAGTTCAAGATGGCCGCCAAGGCTAATCCACTTTAGCAACACAAACATGAAAATAGTTCAGTCAGTTTTGTAAATTTTTTAGCTTTAGTTAGCATTTTGAATCGACTGGCTCTTAACTAACAATTTACAACATTTTTTTTAAGTTTGCAACTTTTAGCTAGCATTTAGCTATATCTGGATTTTAGCTAATAGTCTGCAACTTTTAGCTTGGGTTTTGCTTTAGTACCTTTAGCTTTTGGCTAGTGATTCACTGCTTTTAGGTAGCCTTTAGCTAGTTCTGACATTTAGCTACTTTGTTGCTAAATCTGGTTTTTAGCCTTCCGTTCTGGCTTTTAGCTAATGATCGCTACTTTTAGCTGTCTTATTGCTAAAATACGGTTTGCTAGCAATTTACTTCTTTTAACATTTAGCTAGTTTTCTGCGTGTTTTAGCTTCTTTAACTCAGCTGAACTTCAGCTAGTTTCAGCAGTCCTTCAGCTCTCGACTTCAGTTTGTTTAGAAAACATTATTTTTCTAGCTGATATAAAAYGATGTCTTTTTTCAAACTTTTCTCCTGACTGTGATGTCAGTTTGTTTTGAAGGTTTCAGGCTGAAAAGCAGCACGCCGATGACAAACAGCCGAAGCAGCTGAAGTCAGATGTGTGTGTTTGTCTGACCTGCCAGAAGCAGATGTGACTGTCAGCGTTGGAGTACGTGGCCAAGTAGCGCCCGTCAGGAGCGAAGGAGACGGCTGTAATCGGACCTTTGTGACCGTGGATGTTCTGTAGAAAAACAAAAAACAAGATTTCTTTAAAGAAGTAAAACAAACTCAGAAAATCAACAATTTACATGTTTTATGTGGATTTAAAATGTGGAGTATCGTGTGTCATGTTGGTGGAGTTTGGTGGTGAAACACTGAAGCCGTTGATGGGTTTTAACC